TAATTTTCATAAAATATTAGTAAAGAAGATATTAAAATTTAAAAATCCATTTACAGGTCTGCATTAATTAATCTTTTTGACATAAGATCTCAAATTGAAGACACATATTTATTTTTTGCTGAAATGCACATTTTTTTTCATAAAACATATTGATCTTAACTTATAAAATTTGATGAATCCATGTTTTATTTATGTACTCAATTAGACATAAAAAATTGTAAACTAAAGAGATTTGCATGAAAGATGGAAGTATTGAAAATAAATATTTTAATAAGAAAATTCTGTGTGTTATATAAGTTTACAAATATATTCAAATTGTTAATAATTTTGTTGTAATCTTAATATATTTTATAATTAAAAAATATTGGTTGTTAAAATTTATAACATTTTTTGACCAGAAAATCTAAGAAATCTAAGTTTTTAAACCAATATATTTTTTTTTGAAACAAATTTTTTTAATGATAGTTTTCAAAATCATAGATTTTAAAAAAAATCTGAACCACTAACTTTTGATTGAATGTTTTCGTCATAATCTTCACACAAAAAATAATAATTTTGTGAATAACTTAAAATTATGTAATAACTTAATTGATATCATTTTAATTAGATTTATATTCTTTATTCTTACTCAATATAGTTGAGAAAAATATTTTCTTTACATAACATTTTTCTTAATGTTTTCTATTTTTCTTGTTTCAAAAAAACTATTATAAATAAACCGTTTATGATTTGTATATTGTTGGATTGTAGAATGAATTTTAATTAATCATGAAATTTTATTATGTGCAACTATATGTACTTAATATAACACATATCCTTATTACAGCACACACAGTTTACAAATGTCAAGTCATTTTATTATGTTTTGACTAGTCATGAAGTACATTTATATTCAATTTACTTTTTTATTGAAATAAATAGATAGATAATATTTCATGATTTATTTATCATTTGAATATTTTTTCCATTTGATTCTTTCATCCCAAATTTATACGAGCTAAAATCATGTATTAGCAAATTTCCAAAATTAATTAAAAATATATATTTCCAAATTTTTAAACTCTTCGTTGTTGTAAATTAGTTTGTAGTATTTTTAATTTTTTTTTATGGTCATGAAAAAGTCCTCATTGTTTTTTGGACATAATAGTCTCAAAATCTGATTGAAAACATTAATCTGTAGTATAGTAATTTCATGTCTAAGTACTCAACTTTGGATGATTGGATGGAAGTATTGTTTTCGTACATTAGAAGAATCACTTCCTAATCATCTGATTCTGTTGCAATGCCAAAGATCCCAAATGTAACATGATTCAACATATGCAATATCATAGAGGAGATAAGGAATACAAATGCTGCTAGTAACATGGCTGCAACAAAAGTTACTAAAGCGCAAATACTATATTAGTGAAGGAGATTTTAGAAGATGTAGAACAAGAGTAGCAAATCTACACTAAAATCTAAACATGAGTGGAGATTGCAATGCGATGATGAGGTGAAGGATGTTCAATGAGGTGAACTTAAACATCCATAGCCTAAGTTGAACTAAGTATGCAATTACCTCATCATCGCATTGCAATCTCCACTCATGTTTAGATTTTAGTGTAGATTTGTTACTCTTGTTCTACATCTTCTAAAATCTACTCATCAAGAAGAAATGAATGAGTCGAAGGATTTAAAAATTAAGTCGATCAAGAAGAAATGAATGAGTGAAAGGATCAAAAAATTAAGTATGCACAAACTATTGTAAGTTTAAATCATGATGTTGAGCAAAAAGGGTTTGAAATCTTTTTTTATATTAACAATGAAATGTGTGGAATAATGACATCTAGAATTTTGAAAGATATTGATGTTGACGATAAAATTTGTGAAGTACTATCATTTGCAATTTTGAAAGATAACGATTAACTTTTATAGATAATGAAAATTATTGGAAAAAATCTAAAAAATTGATAATGATGATGAAATTCTTGATACTTAAGATTCAGCTTTGGATCTAAGAATTTGAATCACTTTATAAACAAATTGTTGATATAAAGTATAGATTGATATGCTTCAAAGTTCAAAATCAGACTCAAGTGTTAAAGATACGGTGAAGTACAAATTTTTTCAAATCGGGAGGTGATGAGGTACAGACATTTTCTAACAAAGAATTAGTGCAATTTTTACCAATTTAGAGTGTCTTACCAGTATATTGAGCTTTCATTATACCTAAAATGTCTTGTTTTTTCATTAGCGGTGCATATTTTATCAATTTAGAGCGACCTAGCAGTATATATAGATTATATCAGTATTGCTACTTATACATTCAACAACATTAATTTTTATTTTATGAGTATATTGTACTTACTGTCAACAACAATAATTGTTATTTTATCAATATATTATACTTACTCTCAACAACAATGATTGTTATTTTATCAATATATTGTTCTTACTCTCAACTAACATCTTGCATTAAGCTTCAAAAATTTATCCATATCAATGAGTGGATCAAGTGTACCCGCCCATCATCCATTCATGGCAACTTTTCCGTACTCATTACCCATGAGTCCATATCCAACTCATACTAATGAGTCCATCACAAAAATAAAGTTACTTAAGAGCAGTTGAAGTGATTTTTAAAAAAGTGACGCGCCAAAGAGAATTTTGAGAAGAAAATTTGGACAATGGAAGTTTCACTTCAAGCTGCTAAATTGTGTTTAACCAAGAAATCGATAAGAACATGAACAACTTCAATGGAAACATCACTGGATGGAATGAGAGAAGTAGAGATCATGTGACAAGAGTTTTGTGATTAGAATTTTGAAAAGGAAAAATTAGGCAGTATAAAGTTTCATTTCAAGTTGCAAAATTGTGTTTAACCAACAATATGATAAAAGCATGAGCATGTGATAGACCGATAGTCAGTACATAATGTCACTATATTCAAATTAATTCTTCAAACACATGACATGAGCATTATCCAAACAGAATGTCTCATGATTTTTGGATGGAGCATGTGATTGATTTCATTTGTCGGGTCCGTAAAGAGTTAAAAAAGAGTTTTTTACGGATATAAACATAATAATATTACAATTGATATCATATTCATGGTTATCAATTATCAATACATTCCTTGTACCCATACATTATCCACCCATTCATTCTAATTCATCCCATTATCCATGGCTATGAGTGGGTATTGGATACCAATGGATATGTATATTCATTGCACGACTCTGTTCTCAACAACACAAATTGTTATTTTATCATGATATTGTACTTACTCTGAAAAACATCACTTGTTATTTTATTATGATATTGTACTTACTCTCAACAACACAAATGGTTATTTTATGAGTATATTCTCCTTACTCTCAACAACACCAATTGTTATTTTATCAAGATGTTGTGCTTGATCTTAACAAAATCAATTGTTATATTATGAGTATAATGTACTTACTTTCAACAACATCAATTGTTATTTTGTGAGTATATTTTCCTTACTGTCAACAACACCAATTGTTATTTTATGAATATATTGTACTTACTCTCAATAACACAAATTATTATTTTATGAGCTTATTGTATCTACTTTCAATAACATCAATTGTTATTTTATGAGTATATTGTACTGACTATCAACAACACTAATTGTTATTTTATGAGTATATTGTACTTACTCTCAATAACACAGATTGTTATTTTATGGATGTATTGTACTTAATTTCAACAACACCAATTGTTATTTTATCAAGATATTGTAAATACTCTCAATAACACCAGTTGTTATTTTATGAGTGTATTGCATTTACTTTCAATAACACCAATTGTTATTTTATCAAGATATTGTACTTACTCTCAACACAACTAATTATTAGGTTATGAGTAGGTTGTACTGATTCTCAACAACACCAATTGTTATTTTATCAGTATATTGTACTTACTTTCAATAACATTAATTGTTAATTTATCTTTCATTATTAGTATTACATTTCATTTTGTCGTTAGAGTTGCAAATCTTACCCATTTAAAGCGCGGTAGCAAAAAAATTTAGAGAGACTAGGGACATTCTACCTTACTTTCAACAACAACAATTGTCATTTTGTCTTTCACTATCAATACTACGTATCATTTTCTTGTTAGCTATGCAAATTTTAGCAATTTAAAGTGTCTTAGCATCATATATAGAGACTTGGTACATTGTACTTTACTATATATAACACCAATTGTTATATTAGCTTTGACTGTTAAGTCTTGATTTTTCATTCACAATGCGGATTTAACCAATTTAAAGCATCATAACAATGGTAATAGAAAGACTCAAGACATTGTTACATACTCTCTATAACACTAGTTGTTATATTACCTTTCATTATCAATACTATGTCTTCTTTTCTTGTCACTACTTACATCTCTCTCACTTCGAGTGTCACTACTCCTGGTTTTGGAGATTTATCGTTATTTCAAGTTTTTGTAAGCAACTTCAAATTTTTTTTATTGATATTAGAAAGTTGTTACCTACTTTCGGAGTAAGTTTAGAACTCTCACTCTCAAAGCTTAATGCAAGAATCTTTAAAACTTGGGTCAAATGATAATCCATGACATTTTGAACAAAACAAATGTGATCCCTTATTTATACAAAACAACAGTGAAAAATTAAAGCTTACATAAACGGGAGTATACCGGAATGACCTGAGCTTCTTATTCACAATACAACGAAGAACAGTGCATAAAAATAGTTAGACTACTACAGACAGAACTTTCCCGTTTCTTATCCGTTCCAAGGAGACGAGTCAATGACTCGCTTGACCGACCGGTTGCAGCCCAGAACCCGTTCGGAACGACTCGACGTAGCAGGTACCGAGGAGCGACCGGCTAAGCCCAAGCAGATGGTCCAACCTAAACCGACCACACCCGGTCATTCAGTGACCGTTTCTCAGAAACTAAGCGATTATGGGTCAGAATCCAAAGCCGTTCCAGTCAAGTGGGTCACGTCAGCCTGTCCCACACTGGACAGCATATATCGAGCTCATTAGTTGGGAACTATAACTCGGCCTCGGGGGCTTGACAACATTGCTCTGCCGATCGTTCTGCTGCTCTGCTGCAGGCGATTTGAATCAGCCCGGTGATGAATCATCAGATCACAATTGATCGTTAGAAAAGAACATCCATCTGCAACGCAACGGCATTGTCCGATCAAAGACCCGGAGAGAGTCCCGCGAGAGAGGGCGAGAGAGGGAGAGAGAAAGGCCGAAGGAAAGCCGAGGGGAGGGTTCGGCAGTGACAACGTATATCGTCGCGTCGGGTACAGCAGTCGAGGAGGCATGGGGGGGATCCGCGGTGCCGGGAGGAGGAGCATGGAGGGGGCGGTGGAGGAGTTGTTGATGGAGGCTCGACAGCAGCACAAGGGCATGCAAAGCGAAGACTCCCGACGCAGATTGGGGAGAAATCCGAGCCTGGTGTCCGAAGAATGCCGTGCTGTCGTCATTGTAACGGTGGCAGAAAGGGTGGTGAGAGAAATATGAAAAGAACGGAGGAGGGAGAGGAGAAGAAGAAGAGGGTCGTTGAGAGCTGACGAAAAGCGCAGGGTTATCGGTTTCACATGTTTGCTGCTGCTTTGTGGATGAGGAGGTAGGCACTCTGGCTCAGGAGGCGGAGGAGGTGGAGGAGGAGGAGGCGCTTGTCCGTTGCCGAATTGCTGGTGTAAGGCGTTGGCAATGGGAAAGAGTAGTGGAGAAGGGAGGTACATCAAGGGAACCACCCTCGGAGAGGGTACCTATGGTATCGTCTTCAAAGCAATTGATCGCCAGGTAATTGATTGTGTACTTGCATTTCTGGCCTTGTTCTGACTGTCACCCGGGTTCATCCTTGTCTTGAACTTGATGTAGGAAAAACTCCCTAAGTGGGCTCGTGGGTTCCCGGTTGCGTTAAACCTCGGACCTCGATACGTGTCGATGAAATTTTTGAGTCCATTTGCCTGTTGAGCTGTCCGTCGTGGATGGAGACTCTTTAGTGTTTGTCTTGTCTAATTCGGTAGCTGGCAAGTGGTACTACGTGCTAATCGGCGCTGATTGCAAATTTTACGACTGTAAGAAAGTTTTCTCATATCTCTTATGACATCTAACGACCAAGAAACCAAGCTACTTGTGTTAATTATAGGCTGCCATTTAGCTCGTCCGAGGTGATCAAGAGTCTTCTGATATTGTTTCAGTGTTATATGGTCGTTACATACCAAGAAACTTGAGTTGAAAGGGGTAGTAAGTTGCCATTCACCTTTCTTTTTAAGCCTTGGATATCTTACCACATGATTTACGCATGGTTATCAACGCATTACCGTTTTAAAAATCAGTTAAGTGCTGCTGAGTACGATGACCTTTATTAGTTCAAGAGAAGACCTCCTTTGAACATATCCCTACTGGGATGTGAAGAAACGAGCGGTTATCGATGTAACGTTGAATCCTTGAGGTTCGCTGTTACAGCTTCTAGTTTTTTTAAAGTCGACTATCCCAGAGGAGCACTTGGGGTGTTCGATGGTCATGAGAAATTGGTGGCTGACTGTGTTTGGTAATATGGGGAAATTTGTTTGCAGACGGGTCGCACCGTGGCAGTCAAGAAGATTCGATTGGGAAAATATAAGGAGGGGGTGAATGTGACAGCTTTGAGAGAAATCAAGCTACTGAAAGAACTGAGGGACCCCAACATTATTGAACTTGTTGATGTATATCCTCACAAGAGGAATCTTCATCTTGTGTTTGAGTTCATGGAGAGTGACCTGGAGGCCGTCATCAGGGATAGGAACATTGTGCTCTCAGCCGGTGACATAAAGTCGTATATGCAAATGACCCTGAAGGGTTTGGCTCATTGCCATAAAAAATGGGTGCTTCACCGGTAATGTTCAAAGTACTATCTCAAATTTTTCTAACTTTATTCTTCTGACCCGCGCTAAATTCAACGATGTAGAACAGTCGGACTACATGTTCACGTTGCTATTATAGCTGGCATATGGTGCGTCTTATAGTTCTCCTTTGCACATGAAGATACCACTTTGTATGCGAAGCCAGACTGCTTACCCTTATATGAAGGACTGTCAAGTGCGGACTCAAAGCCCTTGTAGGTATGAAAGTATACTTCAGATTCCCTACACACGGCAATCACAATTGAGGAGCTATACACACAAGCCCAGCGAGCTGTAGCACCTTTCTCACTTGATTCTATCTTGCTGCATGTGCTTACTCCTGGCAGAGATATGAAGCCTAATAATCTTTTGATTGGAGTCGATGGCCAGCTGAAACTTGCTGATTTCGGCCTAGCGCGGATATTCGGAAGCCCCGATCGCAGGTTTACACATCAGGTAACTGATCTAATCATCAAATTTATGTTTCAAGTTGCATATTGCATATGTTCCATGTTGATCTTTTTTATGATATCAATGTACAAGTTACTGGGAGTCTGGTATCAGGTTTCAAAGTAAGTCTGAGAACACCTGTTAACTTGTGTTGTGAGAGGTTTTTAACAAACACCAACCACCAACCATTCTTGTAACATCTTCGTTTGTTATACAGGATTAAAGTTTAAGTTTTCCTCTTATGGGTGCTTGTCATTTATATTTAGTGTAGCTTTTATCCAAGAAAATTCACATAGTATATCATATTCGGACAGGTCTTCGCACGGTGGTATCGAGCACCCGAGTTGCTATTTGGGAGCAAACAATATGGAGCTGGTGTAGACATTTGGGCTGCGGCATGCATATTTGCTGAGCTTATGCTTAGACGGCCCTTTCTGCAGGTAGTTTTTGTTTTGAAGTTCGGATATGATTGGTCTATATGCTGATCTTCATTTCTTTCACCTTTGTAGCAGCTTCCCAGCAGTGTATGTTGTTATCATTCTGTTGACTTGTAGTTTCTCTTCTGTTTGATGTTCAGGGTTCAAGTGATATAGATCAACTCGGGAAGATCTTTGCAGCCTTTGGAACCCCAAGAGAATCGCAGTGGCCAGACATGACTGCATTGCCCGATTACGTAGAGTATCAGTTTTGTCCCGCTCCGCCCTTAAGATCTTTGTTCCCGATGGCAACTGAAGATTGCTTAGATCTTCTATCTAGAATGTTTGCTTTTGACCCCAACGTGAGGATCACTGCTGCGCAGGCCCTAGAACACAGGTGTGTATCTGGCTGACTTTTCTTGTTTTAGCGGATTTTGCCGAAGTGATGCGCATTACTCCTGTGCAGCCTTCTCAATGTTTGACAATATTGAGTAGATTTTATGATAGATTTTATGAATAGTTTCTCTGTCATTGACCCCAGCCCCTAAGAAGCCTCAGTAGCTAAGTCGACTATCTCCCAAACCAGGAGTTACCCTAAAGCCTTCAGAACTGATATCTCCTGGTGGGCCATGTCAATATGATGCTAGGTATTTTGTCACTGAGCCAGCGCCGACGAGGCCCCAATTGCTAAGGCGACCACCACCCAAACCAGAAGGTCCTCCTAAGCCTTCAGAACTGATATCTCCTGGTGGGCCAGTGGTTCTCTCTCCAATGAGCAAGGCTGTGAGATTATCCGCCGTACCCGGGGGCGATGTACATTCGTTTGGAAGGGCAGATAAGGATATGGGTAAAGATCCTGGCAGTGCTGGAACCCTTGGAGGTACTCCATTCACTGCATCGAGGATACCGATGTCTATAGATGCGTCACAATTAGTGCGGCCCACGTTGAACAGGTGAGGAAGCCACTCTTGTACTAGGGGTTCCAAGTGGAATATCAAAAGTAATGGCGACGAATTGTTACTATTGTTACTATTTGCACACACATGCGGATGTGTGTGCAAGAGATATTCACAACCTTATGCTTTTCATTATCGTTTCTATGACATACTGATTGTTTCCAGAGGGGAGGGAAGGCTTTAGTGCCGCAGCGTGAGTGAGCTCGCACTGGGACTTTGTAGACTTTCTTATACTCACATTTTTGCTTTCTTCGAATTTGTGCAGCGTGGACAGATCACACCTCAAGAGGAAGCTGGACATGGACTTACTATCTAACCAAGACTAACCCTGCCTGAACGTGTTTAGAGCACCTCTTATAAATAGCAATTCATCAATAAGACCCAACGCAACAAATTGCAGGGTTTACTGCATTTTCTAACAATGTACAATGTCGAAGTGGGATTGGCACATTATTTATTGGGGATAGAACAGTGGTATGTGTATGGTATGGGACCTCTCGAGTCCTTGTACTTCGAACACATCCAGCATGACGATGCGAAGCAAGAGGGGTCACTGTCATTCTTGAATGTCTGTGCTCCTAATTCTTTAAATGAAGAGAACCCAGTGCCTGATCATGTGGTCAGGCAAAGGATTATGACTATGTCTTAGCTAGAAAACAACGTGGGTGAAGAGGTTCGTAATGGTATCATTAACCTGTTGCTCTCCACCCTCTTAATCACCCACTTGCACAGGAAAGGTCTTGTGGTAAGTGGTTCTGTGTAGGATAGGTGCTTCTTCCCTTCCCACTTCTTGTGGGCACCCTTCATGTTCTGCTTCACAACACCTAAAGAAGCAGAAAATGGTTCTGAGAGGTTTCATACATCTTAGTTGTTATCTGCCACCGACTGCTGTTGTAAATCTCGCTCTACATGCAGGGCATATGTGATGGTGGTAGAATTGTACGAGGTGTGGAAGGGGACATGAAAAGGTTCATTGTTCTTGGGCTGTAGGCATCCACTGCGGGCTTTGACGATATCACAGATGTCATTTTCTTTATTGACACTTCGAGGTGAAAAAAATTTCACACCTCATTAAGGAAATTATTTGCAAACTCTGATGACTTGAGAGAGGCCCGCAGAAGTGTGGGTTGTGTTCATTGTCTGGTAGAGAAAAGTCGATCTGAACTTTTAGCGTATGAGCTCCTGGGTGGAGTGTATGGAGCAAACCCAGGAGATGCGAAAGCAAGGAATATACACTGGTTGCATAGTCATATTTGTATTTCTTAGTCAATGTCATTTTCTTTCTTCTTTCTTGTTGTTTGTTTGCATTTTGTATTTCATCCACCCCTCTAAAGGTTCATGAGCAGGATAGTGATTGTCTTTGTCAGACTACTGTCTGACAAAGACAATCAACTAATTAAGATCATAAAGAATTCACCCGTCTTCTTGCAACTGTTGCGGGAAAAAAAATCAGAGGACAGGTAAGCTTCTATTTTACAGATGATACCCCCGTTGGGGCAGAAATGGTCTTACCTGAGTCGCTGTGAGATCGTTGTTGAAGTAAACTCTGAATGGCTTTGAAAGAATTTTGGATGTTACCCCACTGTTCAATAGATGCTTAGCGTTGCGCTGTCGTAATGGCGCCATCAGTCGCCATGGATCAGAATTATTATATTACTCATAATTGGAAAAGCCCTCGAAAGCAAAGATTATAAAGTTATGTCAGTCAGTAGTTGAGAAAATAATTAAAGAGTGTACACCACTAGTGTTTAAGGTCAACATTTCAGACTAAAATTTAATTTTCCCTTCCAAATTCGTCACTAAAGAGTACTGGCCTGTTCATCATTGAATACTCAAGATCAAAGAATACTAATAAGAGAAGATCTTACTCAGAACAATTCATATTACACTGAGTATGGGTATGGGTATATCACACTATCATAATGAAAAATTTGACGAAAATTTGCGGAACTTAACTTAAATAACATGTTTCTCTAGTCCCAGTCAGCGTTAGATAAATACAATTAAGACCCTTTCGACTCGCAAGGATGTATGAAGTAGCCGAGTAAATCCCAAATAAAAGGGTAAAGTGAACAGACAGATTGTACCACATACTAAGAACATGAAATCAGAAAATTTCGTCCGGGCCACGCTTCAATATCATAGGGAATTTGCGCGATTCACTATAATCGATTAATGTTAATGTTAATCTTAATCCCTGCAACCTCATCACACAATAGTTATATCACTCAGTGTTCCTATCACCGTATTGGAAAATTCTCAACGTACCTGCGCAACTTCCATCCAAAGATCGGAAATAATATATTTATCAAACAATAGATTAGAATATATTGTAGTGGTCTCATCTGCAATAACAATATGCTATATTATTGCTCCTTAAAATGATAATACAATATCAATACTACTGTCTTCATTCAAAGCATAGTTTTGCTTGATGGTAGCCCTGTGGAAACTAAATTGCTTGATAGGATCCGCTATGTTTCATGTTACCCGATGGGACCCCAACGACTCTGTCTAGACATGTTCTAGACAGAGTTCTTGTAAATATGATCGGTAGGATTGTGCCGTGAGTTTTCTGATTAGGGTTAGGGATTAATCGGCAACTTCTTAGACAACTGCTTAGAGAATCATAAGCTCCTGCTTCTCTGGAGAGCGATCCAGACCTTCATGCAATCCGACGTGAGTAGAATTCTTAGGACTGAGAATGAAAAGGGCCCCGATGACAACGGACTAGACAATCCTTGGAAATCCCTCCTCTTGGATCACACTGATCACCGACTCTGCCGCACTCCTCTGCAGTACAATGTTCCACATAACTCCTAGACACCAAAACTTTTGCTCAACAGGATGTCCGCTATGGTTCAACGTGTATGCCTCAATTAGGGTATTGCAGCTCAATTAGTTAGTATTCTGATTAGGGGATTGTGCTTTGATTACAAGAGTTCTTCTTATTTTTTCTTATTCTAGTGCACTCCGCAAAATGATTCGCATAGCCGATCATGAGCAGCAAGATCAACACTTGACCAATAGATTCCCCGTCATCCAAGGCAATATGTTGTCTCTTCTACGGCAAGGTTCCTTCTTCTGAGAACATCTGGAAGTGTAAATGTGGAGTAGAACAGACATGTGATGTCATTTAAAAATGGGTACAATAACCTTATGACCCACGTAAAGAGCAAGCATCCCGATTATCTTGAGATCTACACGGCGCATGCTCTGGAATCATCCTCAAGCAGATCACATTCTCCCAATAATGGAGCTGAGCAGACCACGCTCGAATATATGATTGATTCGAAGTCGCGTGGTATATATAAATGGCTGGATTGGATAGTCATAGACGAGCACGAGCTAAGTTTTTGCGAAAAAGATCATACCAGAGAGAACACGAACCTGCCGAAGATCTGCTCCAAAAATCTGAAGAAGTATATGTTACTGATGATGTTGGAAAAAAAAAAAAACAACATTGGCTTCAGCTGCGTCATGCTATGCCTTGATCTTTGATGGCTGGACGGAAGATTTCACTCATTTGATTGCTTTATTCATCACTCTTCCCGCCAAGATGTGGCAGCGTCCTCTTTTGACATCCATCTGTTGGCATTTGCGTCATTGCTGGACGAAACTACATTCACTACAGCCAACCATCGGGATTTTATTCGGGATTGGTATCATCTGCTTGTCAACAGTCTCATCTGTTTGATTGGTGACAACTGCAGATCTACTCGGATTTCCACTTTTAGGCTCTCGCAACCATCGTCTGAACTTGGCAGTCGAAGCCTACATTAATTGATATCTAGAAACCGAGATTGATTTGATGAGCAATCTGATTTCCAAGCTGTCAACGCTGAAAGAGGTAGGTCGATTGCGCATGACGAGCTCATTACGTCTTGTTAAACACAATACGACTCATTGGCTTGGAGTGATCAAAATGCTTGATCGCTACGAAAGGCTACAACCTCACATTGACGACACCAATCCCGATGTAGCGAAACTCCTTCCAACTGCTGGCCAACAAAATGTTATTCGCCACCATACTGGCGCATTATCTGATTTTAAATCAGTGACCGAATTGTTGCAAAGAGAGAATGTCACTATTTGGGAATTTCCAATCTCTTATTGACAGATTTCCAAATTTCCATTTTGATTCATATCTTTCAACTGATGCGCCCATCGTTCACAATCCTATATTTGAAGATGTCATGATAAAGATTGAATCGAGTTGGGAGCGCAAAATGCTAGATAATGAGAAGGATGTTGTTCTATGCCTGAAGATGCCAAATATTGATGCTCGGAAAGAATATGATGATACTAGCATTTCTTTTGCAGAACACGCACTCAAGCGAAAGCGAATGCAGCAATCCAACCAATCCGCCTACATTAATACCAGATTTCTCCTGCCTACATCAAATCATGTCGAACGGCTATTCTCTATGAGCAAGCGAATCTTTTCGGACAAACGCCGAAGCATGTTGACCCGTAATCTAGATGCGTTACTGTTCCTCAAACAAAACTACACCCTTTGGAACATGGCCTTGGTTTCAACTGTGATTAATACCGCATTTGAGAGCAATCCCAAATTGAATAATGCCGCTATTTGCTAGAAAGGCTAAATGCCATTAAGTACTCGGTTCATAAATGCGCGAAAGAATCTGTTTTTCTTTTTTTTTTTCACTTTTCTAACGGAAAGAGCAGCGCTACACGCCCGGCTTTGTTGTTTTAGCCCAAACTAATCTTTTTTTAAGCTATTACCTTGTCTATTACTTTGTTTTCATACGCAGGAATACCCCCGTTAGCTGGATTTTGTAGCCGTCCTTATCGTTGTAAAATAACAGCACCAGGATTTGCTCATTTACAACTTAAGCCAGCATTGACGGAATCCATAGAGCGAATAAAAAGAATTCTTTGGCGCTGCGCATTTTATCCTTGAGCTGCTATGGCATGCTCGGCTTTAGCTCTATCCCTGTAAGGGATAGAGCTATATATCCCAAAAATCTATATTTTTTTGCCCTTATACTGTTCATCTTGTCTTAGGGGAGGCTGAACCCAAACAAGAAGGCTCGGGGTCCGACCGCGGTTAGTTAGATTGGAACCCACTGTGACAAGAACACAGGGTATACTGGAAGCAGGGGGGAGGCCAAAGTTTTTTGGTTTTGTGGGTGGGTTGTTCCTTTTTTGCATTTTTTTTCTCACCCGTTTTATCACCTTTTTTGGCGGGAGTCGGATTCGAACCCACAACATTCAGATTATGAGGAAGATGACTTCTCAAATATAGTGAAGCGGAATAGATGTTCTCAATATGTCTAATTTTCTATATTAGATATTGCAATATATTGTATTGTTTGATTGACAATACCAATATATTGTATTATCTTGAAATGCAATACAAATATATTTTATTGTATTTTCAGAAAAGGCAATATAATATCAGATAATATTTTTCCGAACTATGCTTCTATCATCCTGGCCTACGGGCCTGGAGCCGAATTGGTGGGTAAATCAACCAGCAGGTAATATTGCGATTTGTAGTTCAGCTATGTCCGAAACATGATCATTTCCCCGACTTTTTCAATATGAGTACATGACATGTAACTTAACTACTACGGAATGCTAGCTATTTGAGGGAATGTGAAGCCAAATTATATCCAGATAAAGTTAAACCTGAAAATCCCTCTAATCCGTTTATACTTACTAAAATAAGAATAAAGTAAAGTGTAAGTTGGAAATAAAAGTGTTGCCTCACATTAACTGGACTTTATTTGTTGAATTGTACATAGCTGACGTATGTAGATGTTATCAAGTAAACTTTTCCGTGGAGGCAATCTTTGATACCTTGATGTTGGTAATCATGTGCAGCTTTGATCAAAGTATTGAATCTACGATGTTTGAAGGAGTAACCAAAATTTGGTACAGATACAAAATCACCTTTCAGAAATGTTAGAAGTTGCCATCAAGGGCACAAACAACATGTATAACATTTTTTTCTAGTTCGTAACTCATCATTTTTTTTACCTTTTCAAATTGTGATTGCAACTATACTGTTGTATAGGTAGATGCTCTTAAATGCTTATAATTTCTCACATGTATTTCGTGCCATATAAGATATGTTTAAGTTACGAATTGAACTCGCTATTCATTTTTTCACGCAGAGAAGTTAAAAGAAAGCTGTCATCAACTTTGAAAACTAAAGATTCTTAGCATTCTATAATTCCATTCTTAATGACCAAAATACCTTGATTTCTACTCAAAACCCATGAGGCTTTCTAATATCCATCAATCACTTTTCAAGATTCCAAGTTTGCTGCGCTTACGAAAAAAATATTATATTACTTACTTGTAACTATTCTACATGACTTATATTTCATTCAAATGACAAACGTAACATGGTTAAACCGAGAATAATAGATAGTAAAACACAAAAAGTTGAGATAACAATGTAATGTGATTCACCACAGAGTGCTACATACATGGGAAAAGTCATGCTTGACAGTGTACTAAGTGTCTTGTGTCATGCACAAACTGTTCAGAGACATATTGTATAACGTGGTTCACTTTTTGGAAAGTTAAGTTCACACGAGGAAAGCACAAGAGAAAGTTTACTACAATAGTGAATAAAAGCAGTGATACAATGCAAAATTGAACACTTCAACAAAAGCTACCAATCTAGTTATAAATAACTAGAATTTGAGATTAATCCTTATCCGAAATTAACCTCAACAAAACAATGATATGATTCGTCGGAGTAATATTTCTTATGAAAATTGATAAATTAGAAAATCTGCTAGGAATATATATATATATATATCAGACCTAGATGTGAAATTTCTTTTAAAAATTAGGATAATTAGGTATTTTATCAATTGAGTGAGTATATTTTCGCGAGCTAGATTCTAAATAATTTAGAAGATGCTAACATGCTTAAATATTAATTATTGACATGTCTCTCATAATATTAAGCAGATAACTTATAATCTAATTTCACATTTACTTTGCAGTTTAGGAGATGGAACATGAGCTGAATTCTAATCAACTCTTAGTGATCAAACATATTTGAGAGATATGAGCTGAATGTTGATTCAGCTGTATCAACGTTTGATGTGTAGTTAAGAAAAAATTTGGAACAAAAATTGGAAAAAAAAGCTTTTGAGTAAAATTTACAAATCACCTTTGAAGCAAAAAAGAATAAATCTATTTGATGTATTTGATAAAAATTATGAATTTTATTTACATCTATACTAGACTTCTACTTGAACAAACATGAAGAGTGAACACACAACACAATCTTTGTTTTTAGTTTACTTTCATTAATAGCTAAAATGAACATGATGAAGAACTACAAAGAGAGATCTTGTGTTATTTTACAGATCTTGAGTAATTGTTGTCTTATGGAAAATACTATTTGTGTTTTGGTTTGTATTTATTGAATTTTCACTCTATTGTTCACTGGTTGGAGATTTAATAAGAAATTAATTAAAATTAGAGTACAAGATTTTAGATAATCAGCAACAATTGAGTTGATTAAATTTTAAGATGTATTATTTTAAAATGTGAAAAAAAGTAATAAAATGCAGTATACTAGTATCTTAAATGCTGCTCTTATCATTGCATTGATTATTGCATTATACATTATTTTCAATATGTCAAATTTATAATAGTGCAAGAAGTAAAAAACTGTGTAGAAGAACATGTCCCGTGCATAAATTATTTTTCTTCTATATGAAAAAAATAGCTTATAGTTGCATCAACATCCATGATGAAGATAATCGTAAGGAAATTTATAGATATTTTCATTGATGTAAATTTATATTTTTTAATAAATTTAGTAAGTCAAAAAAATAACTAGTACTTCAATCAATAATGAAATAATCTTATCTTTTATTATAATTTATCCATTGAAAATTTTTTTTAATTTTTTTTTTAGTTTGTTGTGCACAGCATGACACTTATGAACTTGATTTTTACTCAAACAGTTTAATTTTAAATCCAGGGAAATTTTCGTTTAATGTATATATTACAATATTTCTCTGTATGTTACATTACAGGAAAAATTTCTTGATATGAAAGTAATATAGCGAAAATTTTATTTGACACATTCACTTGTTTCATGTTAAACAATTTTAAATTATATGTTTTCATTTGTATTGGATGTTAGATGGATTGTAAATCATGCTTATTGCATTAGTGCTGCTTTTGATTATTTGACTCTTTAGCGTCATCATGTAAACTTGAAAATAAAAATCTCAAATATGTCAAATACTCTCAAATATTTTGTGTAATTACTTATATCTTGTATAAATTAATGATGTTTTTAACACTGATGATAATAATATATACAATATTCATGCATGTGTTCGAATATATGTGTGAGTAATTTATAATAAAAACAGGCATGTACAATTTTTGACCTGTTTTTAGAAAAAAAAATCATAAATTTAATAAATTTTATGGAAAATTAAAAATTAATTAAAATTAATTAAAGAAAGTCAGGATCAATTTCTAATAATAACTGTGTAACATATAGTTTTAAGTTGATAATAAAATGCACTTGAAATGAAAAATATAAATTTATGATATTTTGGTGGAATATTTTCAATATAAAAAATTCAAGATTTCAAGCTAGTTTATCTATTTCTTGCTTATTATTTTATATTAAAATTAAATTTTAATATTTCCCTTAAGATTTAGTAAGATTTTGAAATTTTTGTAACAAAAAACATGTCAAATTTTCATTTTATATTTTATTATGTAGTAATTTTTGTAATTTAAATTATTATTCTATAAAACTTTAGCCAACGTTATACGTAAGAGATAAATCATGTTGGAGATTGCGAAATCAAATGCTCATGTTCCGTGTAGATAATCTACTCTAGTTAGTTATGAAACTGATTAATGTAGCTGATGTAAGAGTTATGTTGCACAGATACTAGTTCTTGGTTTAGCTTAAATAGTGATTGGGTCAATCATTTATTTGGCTATCCAAATGGTGCATTTTAGTTTGTGTGTATTCACATGGTGTGTAGTGTAGTGAACCCTACTTGCTCGTAAACAATTTACAAATAAAAATTCTGCTGGCTGTTCATTTCTTGGATATTCCATTTCATCCCAATATTTGTTCTGCTGAACATCTGCAAGCTTTGATCGTTGCGCTTATCATACATGCAGAAGAGGAGTTGTCATCGTGAACTAATTGTGATGTAATGACATGCAAGATCAATTTTGCAGATACTCCCATATTTTTGGAAAAGTGTAATGTCTTTCAAGAATCTGGGCTGTTTTAGTGTACAGTACCATCAAAGTGTCATAGACACGTCTTTACTGCTACCTGTGCATGTGTACTGAGACCTCAAATATAGCAGACAACGAATATTGTGATTGTGAATTTTTTAACTTATTGGGACCTGCAGAAGAGGTGTGATTCCTAATGCCTTATTCCACTTATTTCAATGCATGAATGCATCACACTCAAAGGTCGAACGTGGTTTCAAATGTAGGTTCTTTCAGAAAATTTTCACGACTTCTCTATCGTAAACATTTAAGACACTAACTTCCGATCCGTCAGTGTACGGATGACGGAGATTTGGTGAAGTGATCGTCGGTCTCATGAGTATGCGAAAATAACTCCCCTAAACAACGAGGTGGAGTAGTGTATTGGGTGTCCTTGGTAATTTCCGAGAGACCCAGCTGACGCATTAGCCCCATCTCTGAACTCCTTCAATGGCAAGCGTCACGTGATCTCGGTGAAGTTCTTGAAAGAAAGACATCATCATCATCATCATGGAACGAGTTAATGTACAACAAGAACGGACAAGGTCCCTCTCGGAAGCAAGAGGCAGTGGAATCTCCTACTCTCGGACTGAAATCGCATATTCGAAGAAAGGGATTCAACCTGCAAGCATGGGTTTCAGGCTGAGTTGCCATGTTGCTGTGCTGTACGTGGGATAACGGGATTGAATAAGGTACATGAGGATGTCACAGAAGGTCATGAACGTCAGCAAGATATGGCGATCTTTTCACCTGATTGGTAGGGTAGGCCCAACTCCTGCTAACTATCGGCACCAACTTTCGTCGATGAGCCATTCAGCAGTGAGCGCTTAGGTCGAGATATTCAACAATGTCCTACCGAATGAGAGTGACACAAGGTAGCTGCAAATCGAAGTGAGCTCGGTGTGATTAAGGAAATTACCTTCCCGTCGTTTCTTGGATGGCAAGAAACAGAAGCATCAGAAGAATCAGAGAACGGCCAATAATTGGTTGAGGCGTGCAGTCGGACATACTTTTCTTCGACTGTAAGTCTCTCGATAGGTACCTGAAAGCTACTGACCTCTAATCTGCCGATAGTTCGAGCCGCGAAAAGACTATGAACTGCCCAAAGTTCGTGACTTCCAAGCAGAGATTGACAGATGACCGCAGAACCAGGTTGTTTCTTACCACTTTCTTGTTAATCGTGAGAATCACCAAGCCACAATATTAAATCATTCACAGAGAGAATGTGGTTTATAGTACTGGCTTCAACAAGGAATTTCGATACTCTAATTGATGGTGAATCATGCGTTTTGGAGACCTTTCCATGTCCCGATTCATTGCTATCTTACAGCTCCTTAAGATGACGGGACTACATTTTGGTTGATTGAGCAGCGTTCATGATTGCGTTCTGATTTTCACGAACCACCATCAGTCACATTGCAGCATAAGATGATGTTTGACCACTCGCTTTGTGCATCGGCCATTCTTGCCTTTCACGTGGAATCCTCTCTGAGCCACAGCTTGAAGTAGTCGGCAGTAGTTCACTACCAGAAGTTTTATCTGAAAGTAAAACAGATTGTATTTTATTGCCCTCTGTCTGCTGGTTGCAGAGAGTGTATATTAAGGATCAAGAGATCTGCGGAGAAGCTCGGAATTGAGGTTGAATACTCTTTGAAGCTGTCTGAAGCCCTGAAATTTCTCCAGTACTTGTTTATTCTTTTCGTGCGAACATCGGTTATTTTGCCTCTTTTGACTGCAGCGCACTAAATTGAATAGTTCGTCTTGATTTGCTTCGTCGAGAATCTGCAGAGCCTTCCGACACACAGGCCATGGAGGGAATGGCTGATGATACATTTTTGTTCACATCCGAGTCTGTAAACGAGGGACACCCCGACAAGCTGTGCGATCAGATCTCCGATGCTGTCCTGGATGCATGCCTGGAGCAAGATCCAGACAGCAAAGTGGCTTGTGAGGCGTGCACCAAGACCAACATGGTGATGGTGTTCGGCGAAATTACCTCCAAAGCTAAAGTGGACTACGAAAAGATCGTCCGGGACACTTGTCGATCCATAGGCTTCACGTCGGATGAGATAGGCCTCGATGCAGACAAATGCAATGTCATAGTTCATCTGGAAAATCAGTGCGACCAGATCGCCCAAATAGTCCACGCTCATGGCACGAAGGAACCAGAAGAGCTTGGAGCAGGAGACCAAGGCCACATGTTCGGCTATGCCACAGACGAGACCGAGGAGCTCATGCCTCTCTCGCATGTCCTCGCCACTAAGCTCAGCGCCAAGCTCTCTGAAGTTCGTCACAGCGGACTCTGCAGTTGGATGCGTCCTGATGGAAAGACGCAAGTGACAGTCGAGTACAAGAACTCGAATGGAGCCATGATCCCCTTGAGAATTCACACTGTTCTGATCTCTACCCAACATGACGAGACTGTCACCAACGATGAGATTGCAGCAGAGGTTCGAGAGCATGTTATCAAGCCGATTATTCCTGACAAATACCTGGACGGAAACACCGTATTCCACATCAACCCTTCCGGCCAATTCAGCAATGGAGGCCCTCGAGGAGATGCAGGTCTCACTGGCAGGAAGATCATCGTCGACACCTATGGTGGTTGGGGAGCACATGGAGGAGGAGCGTTTTCAGGCAAAGACTGCACCAAAGTCGACAGAAGTGGGGCTTACATCGCCAGGCAGGCTGCAAAAAGTGTCGTGGCTGCTGGACTTGCAAGGAGATGTTTGGTTCAGGTGTCCTATGCCATCGGTATGCCAAGGCCAATGTCAATTTTTGTCGACTCCTATGGCACAGGGAAGGTCAGAGATTCCCAGATCCGAAAACTTGTGGAGGAGAATTTCGATTTTCGACCAGGAATGATCATGCTCGCCTTGAACTTGAAACGTGGCGGCAACAAAAGGTTCCAAAAAACGGCAGTTCACGGACATTTCGGACGATCAGATCCTGATTTCACTTGGGAGGTTGTGAAACCCCTTCATTTGGAATCCGAACAAGATGCGGCTGCAGCAGCAGGGGACAGCCGCCTCAGTTCTATCTCATAAATGACGAACTGTTAGTCAGTGGAGAATTCAACCATTACCACATCTTCCACTTGCTTTCTTTCTGAGTTCTTGACTATGGTATATACAAATGGATATGTAGAATTGAATTCAAGGTCGTTCGCACCAGAGCTTGAGGTTAAAAATTTAGAGTTTATTCGCAATTACTAAAGGAATGAAGCACAGCTTTACCACGGAAGTCGTTACTGCTGCCGCACGAAGGGATCTGGACTAAATATATGCAGCATGTTTAGGCGGTGCTTGACACGCCTCTTTACGTTCCATATTAGCATAAACACGCAAGGTTTATTCCACTCGTTGTCGGTCTCTTGTCCACGCTAAATTACCGAAAGAAGAAACAGTAGAAATATCGTATGAAGACGTGCATGCAGTTGGACCGGTAAGCGAGTCTGACGAGTTGCTGTCTGAAATCGGCAATGAGGTTCAATGTGTTAGAGTTTCGGAGAGCAGATTTGAGAAAAAATGCTCTAGACTCGGAGTGTTATCAAATCTCTCGATGATCCCGATCAAAGACTTTAGAATAAGGAGAGGAGCATGGAAGCCTGATGCAGTAGCTTCTGCACTAGTCCACTCTGAGCAGCTGCACTTTGGAATGCACTCTACCTTGAAGAAGAGTTTCATCGTAAGTTTCATCCTATGTTTGGAGCAAATTTGGTCACTCAGTAGAATTAGAACAATTGCTTGTCTAAGTCAGGCTTTAAATATGAAGGCAAATTAAGGTGAATAATAATGAAGGCAGGAAGTCAAGCAGCAACAAGCACGCACACTCTTCAGTCTTCGATGGATTCCTCTCGCCGAGACCCATATCCCGATTCCAGGCTGGTTATACATCGACTGCTTTGCTCTCTCCGATCAGTTTTTCTGCAATGAATGTGGCAGGCGATACAGATGATTTTTACGTCTTGAACGACCTGTCGAATGGTGCGAAGTTGAAAGTTGGGGGTCATCTGATTGCTCAAAATGATGAATAAACCTAGTTCGGTGAGGACTACATCAGTCAAAACTTTGCAGTGAGATTTGTGCCCATGGAAGCAGGTCATGAGATAAGAAACTGAGCCGTTCGTATCAATTTAAGATACTGAAGGACTTTCACTTTCGAGCGGCTGACCGTGAAATGGGTTCTGCGGTTTACATCTACGACTCAGACTCTTACGCGCAAGGTGATCAAAGAGGAGCCGGTGAACCGGCCTATGCATAACCGAACTCCAGCTGAAAGATGTTATCTTAGTTCCCGTGAGCACTAAGTTAAATCTAACCCATTCTCAGCGTGCAGTTCCTGATCGAGGAGCCCAACTCCACGTCGAAACATTCGAAGGGCTGGCAATATATCACCTGACTGGATGAGAGAATGTTTCCTTTTGCTGCAGGCATAGCTGAGGGTAGTCCCGGGTTAAGTGCCGTGTTATCATTCTTGTGATTTAGCGTGGTGGTTTCCTAGCTCACCAATTTCATTGTAAGTCGCCTCGATCTGTCCGTAGGTGCGACTGCCTAGAATGACAGCATGATTGGTATTTCGCAACCCGAGTTTTGAGCAGCGCGAATTTGGCTTGATGGCAATAACAGCTATTGATATAATATAGCTAAGATCGATTCCAGTGGTCAGATAAAGTTGGACCGTCGTTGTAACAAACAGATCGATACTTCTTTATTGAACTTGAGAAGCTTGCTTATTAACAGTTGTACAGGCTGCTCAAGCCAGACTCAATGGCTTCCAACTCTATAGTTACCAGTAGTCCTGTTCCAGAGATACGCCGCGCATCTTCCGCAAGCCTCTTGTCAGAGCCTCAAACATATGGTTTTAGACCATGCTCTCTGAGGTGGCTGATATCAAAATTAGACCAACTATGGAGACAGCCTGATGACTCTGCCATTAATTGGCTTCAGAAATCTTGCACTTGGCTTCTGCACATGAAACAAACACAATTTTCAAGTTTCAGATTGATATCTGAATTGCTGGAAAATGGCCAGCACCCGCATCTGACAATCTAATCATGCATTCCTGTAGTTGCAGGAAGTTGGATGGGTAAGACAAGAGGGTCAGTAACTGTAGAACGGGTTTCTGTACTTGTATCTCTAATGCTTAGCATTTGGCCTTGCGAGTTATCCAAACAGGAGGGATCTATGGCTTTATCGATTTTTCTTGCAAGAAATAATGTATACAACTTCGAGCCGATGAATAAACGTTTGCAGTTGGATTTTATGCAGTTGCCTACTATACAATTTGATCAGCTCTACCATACACTTCAATGCATGTACTTACGGGAAAGCTGGCCCTGTATCGGTCTAACTGATTCCTGGTCATCGTGATCTGCACCAAAGACATGAATGTGAAAATTGTCATGACAGTCTTCCGAGATGAAAGACGTACTACTACATTTGCAAGTCTCATGCAAAACATCCTCGAAGAACTTGAATTGGGCTGAGTTAATTGAGTGTTCAAAACAACAGAATGTCTGCTCAACCGAACTTTTGAAATAATGAGGCCAAAGAGAGAGGCTAGAGTGGCTGAGGAATAACGTACAGGGTCAAGCATGACAATCCACTTCACGCCTTCAGTGCAAGGTGGCGTACTCAAAGATCCAGTATAACGAGCATACTTGCCCACTGGTCTATCCAGCTTCAAGTTGACTGCAATCGGTGTCGCGCCAGATTCAGAAATCTCGGGCAGAAGGTCCAGGAACTGTTAGACGGACATCAAAGGAGTTGAATACGAGGAGTTAGATGGTCGATTTCAGTTAGTGTTAGTTGGAAAAAATTCCTCCGACTAGACAAAATACAAGTTGGAATGAAAAAGTAAAGCATTCTGTGAGCGTTCTTCGAAGTTTTGTGGCAGAGGATTAAGATAATTTTAGGATATGGATAAACTACCAATTAAGATATGAAGCATGGTACTAACCTGTTCCAAGAATGAGCTAGGGTTCGAACCCTGCGTGAAAAACACCGCAAGCATGGCTATATCTCCGTTGGCGGATTTATGCTCAATATGCATCTCCAAAGCATACCTGTATAAAAAACACTCGGAGGTCATCATGAACCCTTCCCTCGCTCCCCATACCAACGTTCTAGTAACAGTATCAAAAGTATTACGAACTGGTATCTTAAAAAAGAAATCTATGTCGAAATACCGACATATTTGACAAAGTCTACAACTGGAAAAATACGTTGGATAGAGAGAAATAGGAGGAACCTGATGAAGACGTTGATTGTATGCTCAGCTGGTTGGTGAAAGTGGACGTTAATCACGTTGTAAACCTTCCCATCTATTTTTAAGGTGCCGAAACCTCCTGGACGCTGCAAAATCATACCCAACGTACAGTTACAGTACATATGATATATAATATCTGAATGCACTTAGTCAGCTTCGAGGATGTGCAGGATTAAGACGTGTAAGAATAACATAATCTCGCATGATGTCTTTCCTTACAAAGACTCTGAAGTAAACATGTGATTTTACGTTCCGTCTGAGACAGAAAGAGTTCATGATGACCGGACGTACCTGTGGAACAATTTCTGGACCGTAGCCATTGTTGTATAGTTTTCCTCCGTTACGTGTGTAGTTTGTAATAGGGCTAACTGGCAGACTTGTATCCACTAGCGAAGTAGCTCGTGGAATGTTTATCGGCGACTGAGAATTGCCATACCGGCAGTCGCCGCCCCAGTTTTGTGGGAAACTATAGCTGAATTGTTGATCTGCATGAGTAGGTCCACACAAGGTGCGGTCAGATATTAGGTGAAGTTCCAGATGCACAGAGGTCAAGGACAAGTGCAGATACAATAAAAGATCGACATACTATTGGAATTCAGACAATGTTTCAAAGTCTAATGCTATCTGTAGTATTCTGCATATCAATAAATCATGAGATTTGGTCTTGTCTAGGAACCCAATTGATACTTAAGGAGTTTGAACTAAGTGGAGGGACCTGGTTGGGCCTGGGCCACCAGTGTAACTATGAGAAGAAGTAGAGCCTTGGTCCAGGCTGCAGCAGTTGGGGAATCCATCTTCCAATCTCTCGTGTTCCAACTTGTGAGCAAAACACCTACGATTACCAACTCGGACTGTTGTTCTGTTGACTGCAACACACTATCAAAAGTAGGTGAATAGAAGAATGTGATGAACCTCCATTGCTGAGATCATTTATATGTTCAAATCTTGGCCAGAATCTGACTACCAAAGACTGGAGTCTTAGTGAAATAATTGATGTAAGATTGCTCTTGAGAACGTGTATGCAAATGGCTTGACTAACTGCAAGGTACTTGTCCCTCATTAGACGTATTGATAGATCATTACTTCTCAGATCATGCATACTTAGTACAGTACTGTAGCATAATTCACGTCCTATCGGCCGAAGGAGGATAGAACAGTAAATTACTTTACTTATCTGAAAAGGATAAAAATTTATACATCTTCTACCAATATCAGTATAAATATGATAATTCTGACTGAAATTGGGCTGAAGTGATGTAACGTCTAGTTGGTATTGTGTGTGATCTCTCCATCAACAGCCATTTGTCATTCTTAAAGGGGGCTTCAAAAGCTCTAAAATTGGACATAATATGATTGAACTGTCATATGATCACTGCTTGACCTGCGCACACTCGATATCATCATTTACTAAAATGCGCTTTTGAGCATTAGGCTTAAAATGTCAACAGGTCATCAAGCTCAAATCTTTGACTCAGACTATCGATGATCATAGACTTCGAGCATTATCTCCAACTACAATTACATGTTGGATGAGTTCTGTCGATAAGTGTCTAAGATTAAGTTCCATCTCGACATCGTGTACGGATCATGTCCAATAATGCCTCTTTCTGAAGTGGCATGCTGAAAGTACCACATGTACTCGCACGTGCAAACACTTCATAGTTTCCAAACGACCCGTTGGTGACGGTTGGATACGTGAGATATCCAACCGTCGTATGTCTAACCTCAATTGGTATACTTTTTATCTGCAGGCTCAGTTTGTACGTGGATCATGCTTTATCACGGACTGATCGTGTGAAGGTTTGGATGTCAAGGTTAAGATAGTCATCAGCAGTAAGGTTTTGAAAGGGTCGTCAGGCATGGACTTCCTCATGAAGCAAGCAGAATGAGTTGACATGACCGGGAAAGTGGGCCAGGTGGATACCAAATACTGTTGGAAGACCCCTCCAAGACGTACTGTACAAAAAAGAAAACGAACGACAACCAGGTGCTAGGGCCGCACAGTTGACATCTGGTAAAGACTTTCTGGAATGTTGACCAGACAATTTGACAAATTTGATGATGAAACTTCTCGGTCGATGATTCTCAAAGTCTACACAGACACCTGTAGAAACGAACTGAGTCTCCATGATGTTTTATTAGGATGTATAGTCACGTCTCAACAATAAATAGAGTAATACATCAATGCTCGGTGGTTTATCACGGACCGTTGGTTGGAAGAGAAATACTGGAATCGATATTCACAACCAGAAGTTTAGTCAAGGTGACAATCAAACTGATAGAGTAGACTTTTGATTCACAGACCATTGTTTGTACACAAAAGTATCGTTTAATGTGGAGTAATGGTTTCGGAGGAGGATACAGCTAGCTTTGAAGAGGCTCACTGTGATCTCGTGTTTCTATAATTTCTCATATCATGAATATTTTTCCAAAGGATGAACCCTACTCCTTCTACTCGCCTTG